GACTGCGGCGCACAACGAGTGTCTCACTCTCCTTGGCTGCCTGCTCGGTCTGAGGGCCGCGCGCATTGCGGAGCGGGGGTGGAAAGTGGATTAAAGGGGAGGCATGCCGGGGACCGGCGCTAAGCATAGGGAACCTGGCGCAAAGGGACCGAGTCTCGGCTCTCGGCCCGCCAGGTACTCGTTTATTTTTAATTTTCACCAAAGAGTTACACCGGAGCTTTACCTTGTACTTTTTGTTTCCCGCGGGGCACTAATGAGAGTGCCTCTGACTTACGGCCATGCAGCCTCGTCCGGCACTCGCTAGAATTGGGTTAGGTTCGACTCGGCCCGAAAAGGATCCCGAAAGTAGCCGTGCGTATGTGTGTCTGCGAAATAAGGAAAGCACCCCTCTCCGTCTCTCTTTCGCTCGCTCGGACGGTGAAACTACTGCAACTTTGTCGGTCCGGCGGAGGCCCTTCCGCAACCACCCCCCTGTGTAGGAGCCCCTCGACCCTCCCAGCTCGTTCAGCCGGAGTGAGATGCTTCTCCTCGGGAACATCCCGCGAGCAAGGGAATGTGGGGAGAGAGAGAGAGAGAGAGAGAGAGAGAGAGAGAGAGAGCTACGCCACTAGGGCAATTACCAGATAGCTCTGAGGCCGGGGGAGCCGGTCGCGAGCGCGGAGAGGGTGAGGGGGGGTCAAGGGGGTGTAGGGGGGGCAGGCCTCCAGTGACGGATGGAGAAGCGAGGCGGACATTTGTTTGGCGCCCCCCTCGACGGAGCCGCCCCCGTCCTGCCCCCTCTGCCCCCCTGGCTGGCGGCGGGTGGACGTGGACGCCGGTCCGCTGGGGCGTAACTCCAGGTTAGGCCCGCGGGCGCTGCCGCAGCCGAGCGGCCTGCGCCCTTTATCACACATGCGCCCGCCATCCGTCTGGGTCGGACGGGTCAGGTAAAGGTGTATGGCTCTGGACAGAGGGGGGAGGGGGGGGGACTCCAGACTCCGCTGGTAGAAAGACATATCTCCAACGAAAAAACACCGCAAAAAGGTAATAAAAATGAAAAAAAAGTGGTAGAGGTAAAACTATTTTAATCTGAAATTCGGTGTTTGTCTCTATTCCTCGTGTACAAGGTTTTATTCTGTGATTTTTCTTTTTGGTCTTGGTTGTGTCAACGGTCGTGCTAAGCGGCGGAACGGGACGTCCGAGTTAAACTGCTGAAAGACTGTGAGCACCCCGCCCCACCCCGCACCCCGCCACATATGTTTCTGGTCTGCAGATCGTTGGGTCACATGACACAGTTGGCCGCGTCGCGACCATCGGCGGGCGAAGAGAGAGAGAGAGAGAGAAAGAGAGAGAGCGGAAGAAACTGACGAGGATGAGAGGATGTGGTGGACGACGCGATCGGGGTCGTGAGCCCTCGCGTTCCCGTCCCGTCAGCCCCGCCTCCGCCCGGCAAGAGTCCGGTTCCATCTGTGACAGCACTGCGGATGACTCCCAAGCCGGCCGATATCTATCCTTCTGGTAAAACCCTTCCCCGATCGTATATAGACCGCGTTTAGAGTTCGAGCCACTTGGTGCTCTTTCGTCCTGGGCGAGCTTCTCTGTCAAATGTGAACAAATGCCTCTCGAAGTGTAATTAGGTGTGTACAAACCCTAACGACAGCATTCCGTTTGACACACTGAATCACAGGTGCGTGGTTTATTCACTCAAACAGTTATACAGTAACACACGCGTGTTAAATGCGTACACCGACGCAGTCACCAGACGGTCGCCGTAAGGACCCACACAGCCACGGCGGCGAGGGCGAGCGGCGATCCGCTCTTCCCGACAGCGTGAGAAGCCGTGAATGTATCACAAAAGCAGCCGAAGGTTTCGTTCAAGGCGGACACCTTGCAAGGCACATCGTCTTGCCCACATTGCTCCTTGGAGGCTGAAGTTGCGCATGACAGAACGCATTGCATGTTCGTCCCACACAGTCTCAAACACTCACTCCATTTCTTGTTAGTGCATTGTTTGAATTTGGAGCAAAATCTATGGATGCACTGCTTTCCCTGAAACATTGCGAGGGAGAGTAGGTGAGAGCCCTAGGGTTTCGCTCTTACCAACACGAGGACAAATTTTGTCCCAATGTTATGTAGTTTCGTTTCTGTGATAATTTGTTCCAGCGCGGATAAAAATTGTCACGACAAAACGTACTTACAGTCTTTACGTGGTATCGAGGCTTAGCTTCAACACACTTCGATAACTCCGCCATATTCTCCATAAGGTCAGCGAGACGATTGTTCGCGGACGCGACTGGGGGCTGCAGCAGCGCCAGCGCGACGACTAGTGTCAGGGTCCACAGCATCTGGAGCACAATGCACATGGAGCAAAACCGTGTTGCTGCAAACCCGATCGAGGCTTTCTCGACGACCGGTTGACTTGACGTACCTCGCTCCGTAGGGTAGACAGAGACAGTGTCAGTGTCAGGGTGGTATACCGTTCAGTTCGCGTGGCTGCTCTCGACTGCGCTGCGGCTTGCTCTGCTCGGGATTCGTTTCTCTTGGTGACGAGGACCTCCAGGGACCGGGCTGATAAAGACCTTCCGGCAGACCGTGTTCCGTGTTTGCGAGTCATACGAGGGGTGAATCATTTTCCTGTGCACTTACTTTACTCTTCCCACTCATCCCGTAGGCTATTCACCAAAGGCGTTTTCCTGCGCACATAAGTACGCGAGTGTACGTGTACGTGAGTACGTATCAGTACATATGAGAATAAATGAGTACACTACGAGTACACACGAAAGTAGAACTACGAGTACCCCTCGTACACATCAGTACAGAAGTGATGCAGCCCGCGAGGACTAAAGGCCCTCAGCCAAATGGGGGAGGAGGCCAGCCCCTGCGGTAGCGTCTGTCTGTCGGTAGGTCTGCCCGTCTGTCTGCCTGTTGACGGACAGCTTTTTAGGCGCGATAGGGTACTTCACCCAGTTTAAACCGGATCCAATGAAGAACAGGAATGCTTCCTGAACTGTTGCCCCCCTGACGCTCGTTGGGTGACGAAGTTCGTGGACCTGCCACAAGATCTGCGATTGCTCTAGTGACGGATCCGAGAACTTCGTCCGCGTCAGCCTATGAGCGCCAGGGAGGAAACAGTTCAGGAAGCAATACCGGGTGTCCGGAACAATACGCGGCAGCTGGATGGGTGGCCTACGCACTGGCTCGTAGGCGCCTGGGGCGAGGGGGGAGTGGTTGGAGGTGGCGGGAGGCGGCCGGTCCCCTTCACCGCTCGGCCGCTAGAGCGCGCGCTAGAGTCACTCTCGCAGGGAAGGGAGTAGCGTGGTGGGAACTGGCGGCAACTTGCGAAGGGGTGGGGCGCATGAACCCCGCGCAACCGCGAGCTAACCCGCGGTTGCGCGGGGGTGCTCGTGGGGGCGCGAGGACCCGTGGCAAGACTTGGACTCACCCCCCGCGGATCCACGACGCACCCTCGCGGCCCGCGGAGCACCCCTCGCGGATCCACGACGCACCCTCGCGGCCCGCGGAGCACCCCTCGCGGATCCGCGACGCACCCTCGCGGATCCGCGACGCACCCTCACGCCCCGCGGAGCACCCCTCGTGGCACCGCGACGCACCCTCGCGCCCCGCGGAGCAACCCTCGCGGATCCGCGACGCACCCTCACGCCCCGCGGAGCACCCCTCGTGGCACCGCGAAGTAC